TCACTCAAATAAAAGATAAATGACAAGAAGTGAGTGTTTTACTATACACCCAAAGTTATTTCTGTATTCATAAAAGCCCCTTGGTTAAATCAGGGGTGAGCAATGATCACTGTCAAAGGGATAGGTTCACACTGGATTTTTACTTGTTTTATGTTTGAAGGTTTTTCTCCATTGCATATTACAACGTGCTTTACCTTCAGCAATCTAAACTCCTTCTCAGTTGAGGAAAAACCCAAAACCCATCATAATTACTCTTTTCATTGCACCCCAGCCCCGTAACAAGGCAGATTTTGGATGTTTAAAGATGCATTTGCCCTTTAAATAAGATGCTTTTTTGACAGCCACCCCCAGCCCAGGGTGTTTCATGCAGACATCATCCTGGTGCCGGACATGGCGTTGCAAGTGGCACAAGGAAAGCTGATTCTCAGCTGAAAATAAAAAAACACATTATTTTTCCTAGTTGCATAGCGTAACTTTGCAGCAAATAAACCCTCGAGCAGCGTGGGCTCTTGGAAGAAGCCGTGCCTTTGTGAGGAGCTCATGTGCTTGGACACGAGGAGTGCGGCTGAAAAAGGAGCAGGAAAGGAAACAGCCCTGGGGAGCTTCAGCGCTGGGACTGAAGAAACGACTTGATGCTTGTACAGACAAGTGCTCACCAAACTCTGCACATCATAAATAATCATCTCTCTGTCTCCCATGCATCCGATGGGAAATGCATCTTCCCCCACTGAGACACTGTGCTAAATAAAGGGTTGCCCTTCCCGGGGAGCGGGAGAGGTGGGAGGTGGACAGTCGGGCTCTTTCCCAAAGGAAAGTCATTAAGCGTACAAAATGCGTATGTTTTCTCTTCAGCAGCTGTTGGGTTTCTCAGCCCAAGAGCCATAACAGGACCACGAGGCTCGGAAAATTTCTGCCTCCCACATCTGCCCCCAGCTCCCCACCAGCAGTGCTGCTGAATCAGCGAAACAGAGGCTGTGCGTCTGCGCCTCGTTAGGGCAGTACCGCTAATTGAGTCACGGGCAAAAAATGGCTTCGAGCCTCTCTGCTTTGGGGTGGTGACTCACTGTGGAGGGTGAGTCTCAGCCTTCTGCTGGTGGTGTCTCAAAACTCCACTGCTGCATTCACAAGAAGATGGTGGTCCTGCGAAATGAAACCCTGACAGAACCTCCCTTTTCACCTCTCATGTCTCTAGGCTGGAAGCAAGTTCTTCTTTTCTTTACCTCTTACTAGAGAAAAAACATGGGGGAATAATTATTTGCAGTTTTTTAAGGTCCTAGGCTTGCAGTGAAGTGTCCTTACACCAATCCCTGTCTGGTACTGCTATTGCCTGAGTGAGGAAGTGCCGTGTCAAATGCAGTGCATTGATCTGGATTAGTTCATTAACTAATTGGAGATTCTCTCCCACTTGAGGCTTTGCAAAGCTTTGCCCAGCTCAGTGGCACAAGGACATAGGATCTACCTGGGCATTTGGGAAAGACCTGGCTGTGGGGAAGAGAATGGGAAAAGGGGAAAAAAAAAACAGAAGAGGGGGAAATGCGAACCTCAGGCTCACCTGAGGGTCCTCCATCGGGGGTCACCTGGGTGCTACCCTGGGCTGTGTGAGCAGCAGGAGAGCCAGGGACATGGGAGCTGTTTGGGAGCCTACCCTTGCTCAGCTATGCCTTTCTGTGCCCTTTGCAGACCTTCAGATGAAAACCACCCCGATGTGAAGCCTGATGCCTACGTGAACAACCTGGCTGAAGCAGTTGACATCATCCTCCAGCACCTGTAAAACCAACCAGCAGGAACAGGGATGAGTCCTTATGTGCAGCTCCTCCATGGAACCACTTCATCCTCTCCCACCTCCACCTCACCTTAACAAAACCCAGGCCCAGCCTTGCCCGGGGTGGTGGGCACCCGCTTTCCTAAATATTCCACGTAATGGTACTAAAATGATCTCCTGACCTCATCCAAGGGAACTCCAAGCCCACTGTCTTGAATGTTCTCCTCTTGGTGCCTGTGAGGGGCCTCTGCCTCCTCTGGGTGATTCTGGGGGGGCTGTTCCCCCTTTAACTCTCCCCTCAGGCCGGGTACCCAGGTGTGACACAGGGAACCCGGCACCCCCCCACTGAGAGACTTACCTGTTTAACCCACCTGTGCTGTGCCTTTTGGGGTGCCTGAGATGGGATGGAGGATGTCCTTGAGGGGTGTTGGAGGCCACCAAGCCCTGGTGGGGGCTCTGGGGGGTCCTGTGTGTGCCTTGGGTGGCACAAAACCCTGGGGAGGGGGGACACCCCTGGATCCAAGCCATTAAGCGTGGTTCTGCCAGAATTAGCCTGTCTGGAACAGCCCTGGGTGAAGGCATGGGAATGTGGTAATGCTGTGACACATTAGGGAATATCTGTGCTGTCCTGTCAGGAATAAACCCCGTCCTTTAGATCTGGCCTATTTGTCCTTGTGTTCAGTTGGATCAGCACTGGCAGGGATGTTTACAGGATCTGAAATACTTCTTCCTATCTGGAATAAGCTGGCAGGGGCCATGGGACTGATGGGCTTTGCCTTGTGTGGGAGGGGATGTGGATTTCCTGCCTCTTCCCAATAAGATCCTGGACATGCAGCCAAGGATGCTCCATGTGCCAGGGAGCTGTTGGTGTTGAGTTCTACTCAGCTCCAGCTTGAGAGGGACTTCACAAGGCCATGGATTAACAGGACAAAGGGGAATGGCTTTTAAAAGGGTAGGTTTAGATTGGATATTGGGAAGAGATTTTTCCCTGCAAGGGTGGGGAGGCCCTGGCACAGGTTGCCCAGAGAAGCTGTGGCTGCCCTATCCCTGGAAGTGTCCAAGGCCAGGTTGGACGGGGCTTGGAGCAACCTGGGCTAGTGGAAGGTGTCCCTGCCCATGGCAGGGGGTTGGAACAAAATGGTCTTTGAGGTCCCTTCCAGCCCAAACCATTCTGTGATTCTCTGTACTCACTGAACATCCCCTGGGACAGATCCCACACCAGCACCACGTGCCTGCCAGGAATCTGCCACATCAGTTTAGCTCCAGCTCAGCCCCATCCTGCTGCCAGGAGCTCTCAGCACGTGCAGGGCTGCGAAGTGGTGCTCCACGGAGCAGGGGCAGCCATGAGATTTGCCTTTTTTTCTTCTAACCACAATAAGGATTTCTAAAAGGAGCTGCTTCCTGCTTCCAGGCATTGCAGCTCTCCAGCACATCCCCAGGGTTTTTAGTTGCTCTCCCCCATCAGTTCTGCAGTACAGGTGTTACAGCCTGTGTGGTAACTCCTGGCCATTCCTCACGTGGCAAGAGCGTGGCTGGGACAGGGGCTCACAGTGGGGGGAAGAATTAAAGATTAGGGGTTGCTCCATCACATCCTCTGCCCACCCTCACCGACACGTGGCAGCATTTGCCCAGTTCACCTTTTAGAGGCAAAAATCCCCTTTTAATCAGCATGTCAGCAGCTCTGCACCCTCTTGGGCTCTGGGCAAGGCTTTAAGCTGCTTCAGACCTCCCATGGGCCCCTGGTCAGGTATGTAATTCTGTCTGTGTATTTATGTGTAATGTGCTGTCCAGTGCCTGCATTCAGCCACTGCTTCCCACGTCTGCAAGCAGGAGGTGAATGATAATTCCAGCCCCAGCAGCCCCAACAGCTGAAGAAGACCCTGCTTGCTGAAGGACACCAAAGTGATTCTCCCTGTTTCTGGAGCAGCCTGTGAGTGTTGGAACATTTGTCTTTCAGAGCAACCAGCTGGCCCCTGAGCTGCAGGGCACCCCTTTGGGGACGGCAGGGGAAAGCGGCTGGGAATTGAATTCTAATAAAATAAACTACATCTGGGAATATGACCTGAGTGCAATTTTTTGGTCTGTTTTTGTATCTTTTATCCTCTGGGTAGTGGTTCAGCCAGAGCATGTGGTACTGTCAGCACCCACACCCACAGAAGGATGCCATAAACCCTGGTCGAACATTCGGGCTGTGACGGATCAATGAGAATTTCTTTTTTATCCCCTAATTCTTCCTTTTTTGTTCTATTATACTAAGCCTATCACTTCAATCTGATTAAGTTTAGGCAGATAAACATCCTGCCATCTGTCATGAAACTTTTTATACTGTTTGCTCGCTGGAGGAAGCACAGCCGTTTTCCTTTTTGGGTTATAAAGGGGAGATATCACTCTGTTTCCCCATGTATTTATTTAACACCCCTGTGTGCCCTTGCCCTGCTGTCAGCTCTGGCCTTGCCTGAGTTTAGGGGTGGGACATTGAGTTTAGGAGTGGAACATTTTCTCTGTCCTCAAACACAAAGAATAAGGTGCTACTTGGCACTTAAATTTGCAGTTTGTTGTTAGATTTTTTTGGCATTTTGTTATTGTATTTTCAGCTGTGTCACAACTAAATGACAGCCAGAGTCAGGCTGGGGGGGGCAATGGGAGACAACCCCCACCAGGGTGTGATGTATCATGTCTGTCTGTATGTGAATATCACAAAATGTCCATTTTCCAGTGCAACCCATGGCTGGGAAGTCCTTCCTATTTCTAACACAGACACCTCGATGGAGGGTCCCAGCTGGGGGATTCGCCAACACATGCGCGTTTTTGGGACACCCCCTCCCAGCACCCATGGAGATGGCCAAGGGGGTGCAGCCAGACCCCTTCTGGGAGAGGAGAGGAGGAGACTCCTGCCCCATCAAACTCCAACCAGTGCCACAACCCGGCTGTCACATCCCCGAGGGGCAGCGGCGTCCCCAGCCCCCCTCGACCCCCGAGCACAGAGAGACGAGACACCGGCCGGGGCTTATTGAACCAGGAAGCTTTATTTACACAGTAAAAGTAACAAGCAATTTCCTGAGATTGAGCTGCTCTAGTGCAATCAAGTCATGGAGGGGGTGGGAACGTGCAGCCTCCTCGCCGGCCCGCGGAGGGGGCACCTCGGGCAGCCCCTCCCCGGGGACACGCGCGTCCCGCGGCGCTTGTGCAATTGCCAGCGAGACTTGGCTACTACAGGTCATAGCTTCAGAAGGCTTGGTTTTTCTTTTTTTTTTTTCCTTTTTTTTATTTTTCTCCTCATCCTTTTTTTTTTTTTTTTTTTAATTTGGCCATCTTCTTCTTCCGCTTTCTTGAAAACACCGAACTTGTACACGCCGTAAAGCACCGCTACAATCCTAGAACATCCTACTTCAGTCTGTTCGCCTGGGCAGCCAGGAGCTTTAAACAATGCACTTGAAACACAACTTTGTTGGCCAAACAGGCTATGCTAGAACGTGGAAAAATTACAATCTATTTTACAAACACTTCTTTTCGTCGTTTTGTTTTGTTTTTTAAATGTACTCTTTCATAGAACCAGCTCAAAGAGCTACATCTGCAAACACACAGCAAACTCCCATGTGCCTGCTAAGACTTTTTTGTATTAAAATCCTATTTTTTCCATCATGATTGCTGCTGACACAGCTTTGCTGTCATCCTAAAACAGTGGCTGCCCAGACTGGGTCACACCTTGGAAAAGCCATCGGGTCTCTTCACAATAATAAGCTCATTTTAGCCACCTAGCAAGGAATAACATCCTTTGCCTGCATATTACTTTAACATCACATTCTGGCAGCCGGCAGGGATTTGTCAGGGGGGAGTTGGAAGGTTACCAAAGCATCTGTGTAATAGGTGAAGTCCTTTACAAACCAAGAGCAGGACCCCCAGGTCCTGCTCTCCCACTGCGGGCGTAGGGGACGGATCTCCTGACGCCAGGGAGCAACACCACTTCTGACTTTACAATCAACAGGATGTCCCCTGAATCTGAGGCACATACTATATTATATTTAATATTTTTTAATACTTTATTTATATATATATTTATATATATATAAATCCACAAACGTTTTACCTCTACAGAGAGAGAGAGAGAAAAAAAAAAATTTAAAAAGTAAGGCTTTCTTAAACTGAGAATAAGTACATGAAATCATACAAACCCAACAAGAAATACCCAACAGAACATCACTGTGGCCTCAAAACTGTCGCTAACTGTAGTCTGTGCCTACGCCAACGTGCCCAGTATAAGGCCATGACTCATTGGAGAAGCGTTTTTAGTAAGGCAAACAGGTTGTGCTGTATGTAAACTGAATGCTACGGCTATGTCCAGTACAGCTGGATCGTGGTCCATCGGCCACCTCCCCACACTGGAGGGTTAGCGTGGCACCAGGAGCAGCCCTTGGAAAGAAAACAGAAGCCCTTAGGAGCTCCAGCCCCAGTGATGCACATGCGAGAGCCCACCCGGGGCTCTGTGGCAGCAGCCGGACACGGATTTGGGTGGGTTTGCCCTTTTTGGGCCAGCTGAGGAGGTGCCTGTGGCCAGCAGGAGCTGTGTGCCCCGAGACTGGGACGTGTCAGTGGTGGGGAGGATGGATGGAGCATCAGGAAGACTCAGAGCCAAGAACTGTGCTGTGGGGGTGACGCTGCAGGGGCACGGACAGAGGGGCAGCAACCTGGGAAAACACTGGCATGGCCGGACCCTCCCAAAATGTCTGAGACCAGCAGCGTCTTCCACAACAGGAGGGCTAAAAATTCACCCAGGATGTATTTTCTTCTAAGTGATGCATCAAGCAATGCTTTAAAAGAGCTGGAGGGCTCCCCAAAATGAAAAGACATCCCTGCCGTCCCCTCCTCAAATACCTGGGGCTGGTCCTGCTTGCCTGTGGGGATCCAAACCTCTGTGGTGCCAGGACAGGGATAACAGCCAATGGGTTCCACTGTGGTGGGAGATGCCACACATATCCCAAACCACTGCAGAAAAAAGTGCACTAACAACCAGAAATGGTGAATGAAACCTGTACCAGCAGCTCTCAGTCTTTCTGAGTTATGGACCCTCAAAGCACTGCCCACGAGGGTGCTGAACCCCATTGAAAATGTCATGTCTTCAATTGCTGTTGGTATCAATGATTCTTTTTCCTTTCTCGCTTTTGCAAAGCTCGGGAAGTGAACCCTGAGCTTGAAGGAACCTGCAGAGGATGCTGGAAGCCACTCGTACAGCCTCCCTAGAGCTTTAAACAAACAAACCAAAGAAAAAAACAAAGGGAGAAAAAAAAAATGTGTCCTTCTAAACCTGTTAGCAAGTGGACAGCTTATTTTTAGCAAAGAGAATTCATATTGTAAAAAACAGAATGGTCACCATTTTATCTGTGCTTAAAAAAAGGCACAGGAAGAGGAAAAGCTTTCAGTGCTGCTACCTGGATTTTCAGCCTTTTGCCAGCTGACTTTGTCAAGTAACCCCGCTGTGACGTGCCTCGGGCGCACAGCCCTTCACAGTAAAGCCAAAAAACGAGGGTGGCAGCCTTGCCCTGGGTAGCAAAGAGGGCACAGCTGCTGCTAAATGGGTAAACAGCCCAGCCCCAACAGGGTGATGGGAACCCAAGTGAGGGTGGCACCGAGCCTGAGTGGGGCTGTTTCCCAACAGGGTTGAGAGAGGGGGCTGGGAATTAAAAAAAAAAAATAGGGAAGAAAAGCATTTGGGCATTCCCGGGCAGCACCCGGCAAGCGCTGCTGCGGACACCGCCCCACGTGGGCCAGGGGTCCCTTTAATTCCTCATCAGGAAAACTAGAAAAAAAAAAAAAAAAAGACTTCACTTGTGATTTCCTTCTCACGGCACTGCCAGGGACACGGGGAGAGAGGGGTGCTGGGGCTGCACGGGATGTGGCAGGAGAAAAGGGGCCACAGCCACCCCAGCAGTGGCCACCAGCCAGTGCTCAGTTTGCAAATCTCAATATTCTGGTTTTCCCCCACTTTTTCAAGCCTCAGGGGTGGTGGTTTCTCCTTGTGCATCCCTTTCTGAACTAGCACAGGTGGGACCCAGGGGAGCACGGCCAGCTCCATCAGCTCCAACCCTGTCCTGGGAAAAGCCATTTACTCGCTCACGGCGAGACTTTGGCAATAATCCCTGTGCCTGGTTTTTCCTATCGGACAGGCACTTTCCTCCGACTTGGCTGATCTCTGGCTACAGTAGTTACAAAGAATTTCAAGATTTACACACGCATGCACACAAATTGCTCTAAATACCTGATGAAATTTTGGCAAAGCTGCTTTGTCCCCTCCAGCTGGCAGGAGGGGGAGCAGTGACAGGACCCCGCAAACCGCAGCGAGGAGCCCTCCAGTGCTCTGCTGGCAGCCCCCGACACCGGGGGGCGAGGCGACCCGCTCCCTCCTCAGTTGTTCTCGATCTGCTCGATGTCAAGCTCGCCGTCCAGCTGGAAGAGGCTCTCGGCGCCTGTCCCGCCGCTCCGCCAGGCCACCCTGTCCTCCTCCTTCGCGCCGCCCTCCTCCTCCTCCTCGCAGGAGAGGTCATCCCTGCTGGCGCGGGGGTCCTCGGGCTGCGGGCGCGGCGGTCCCGGCACGGGGGTGCAGGCGGGGGTCCTGCCCGGCATCACCTCCGGGGAGCGGCGGGATGCGCTCCAGCCCGGGGGGCCGGGGGCGCTGGGAGCCCTCCTCGGCCGCGGCGCTGAGGCAGGTAAGGCTGTTGAAAGTCTGGCGGTTCTGCAAAGGCAAGGGGAGAGAGGCGGCTGAGGCAGGTGTGGGCACAGGGGAACGGGGGTGGTCCTGGAGCTGGGCTGGGATAGAAGTTACACCAGGTGAGCTGAGAGTATTCCCGACCCCATCCCAAACCTGAGCCCTCTCATCCCAACAGAAAGCGAGAAGAGCAGCAGAAACACTCTCAGCCAGCTGGTCCCCAAAAGGTGAGCAGACACTGAAAAACCCCACACCTCCCCATCCACGGCAGCTCCTGCACCTCTCCTGTCCCTGCAACGGGTAACAGCATCAAAACCATGCCCAGTATGCTCTGGATCAGGACCGTCTCCACCCCACACATCTCCCGGCTGCGTGTTTAAGGCAGTACAGAGCTCGCCAAAAATAAATGAATATTAATAAATCCAAGGTACTTGTGCTGAGTTGCTACCATGAACCACACATTGCTGAGAGGCTTCGGGTGCTGCACTGCGTGACACACACGGTAACAGGAGTCACTGCAGGAGACAACACAGAGGCTGCTGTATCTAAAGAGAAGTTCCTGCTGCCCCAGGAGGAGCTGCCCACTGCCCAAGCTGGGGGAAGATTCATTTCACATGGCCTTCAGTCTATGAAACCTTCAAAAACCTGAAGGCCAGTGTGAAAAAATAGGCATTTGCCCTCTAAATACGCAACTTCAGTTTCCCACGTCATCCTTCTCATATTTTTAAAATCCCAGGCGTTCCTCTCCATGAGGTCTGTCTTCTGGGTGCTGGACATGCAACAGCTTCAAGCAGAGATCTACATGCTGTGGTTAATGGACAACTCTGTAATTGCCACTGGGGGAGGCCTGAGGACATAGGAGAAATATTTTCTAAGTACTTAAATTTGCAAGCATATTTCCAACAGTGATTTAGGCACTTGGAAAGCCTTGGAAAGCCTCCTGAAAGTCAATAGCCCTCTCAGAAGTGCAAATCCTTTCTACAAACAAAACTCTGGCACTTTTGGGAACGTTAGTTTTTCTCCTTCTTGACTGAGTTCATCTCCTGGTTCCATTGTTTCCCAGGGCTTGGTACTCAGGTGCCGACGTGCCGAGTTGCTCCAGGTGGGATAGAGCATCCTGAGAGGATGGGAGATACTCTACAGTGCTTCAGAGAGGGACATGAGGGATTCCTGTAGTGATGAATAATGGAGGATGCGGCCTGGAGGGCAACTAAAAAGGTCTGTGGTACATTCTTCCCATCCAAAGGAAAAGTATTTCCAAGCCTGGAATGTCTCAGAGAACAGCCACGAAGATACCTGACTTTCAGGGAAATTTTGCATTTTATGGGCCTTTGGCAAGACAATCAAGCCAACAGCCTCATTTTCCCTGCTCACATTCACATATGCTGCAGCCCAAGCCTTGAGTCATTCCAGGTACTATTTCTGCCTTCCCTGCAAGAGGATGGAAAACCCCTTCCCATCCTGGTGCTCCCAGCGCCGCGGTGGCTGCTGGTGGAGGAGGACCTGCCACATACAGGTCCCTGTGACACAGGTCTGACAGCTTGGAAAGCAAGTTTTTACAGGCACTGGCTGCCACAAAATCCCTCACCTTACCTTCCCAGCAGCTGGGTCAGAAGAGTCCCAGCCAGGATGGTGATCACCAAGCCAGCATTCCGTGAGCTGGTTGTGGAGCCGCGGTGGATCAGCCACCGACGCCAATGCGGCGCCTGTTCTCAGCCCATCAGGAGTTCTTTGCTCATTTTTTTATTTATTGGGTGAATTTAGCACGTGCTGAAGTGCTGAGCTGGCAAAGCTGGGCGGTCAAACCCTCATAGGCCAAGGAGCAGGTTTGGTGGCACAATGCAGCACTTGTTCCCCGTGGCCAGGCAGCCCTGGGCCCCCTCCGAGCCTCCCCACAACCTTGGCCTTCACTGCCAGACAGAAAGGGGTAGCGTGCACCTCAAATGCTGTTGGTCTCAGGGAAACCAAGGGAATCCAGATACCCTCCTGGATCTGACACAGGCGGCTTTTGGGAGATTTCTGGCCATCCTGACTTCACCCAGCGAGCATCTGTACTGCACCTTACACCCAAACCCCCTTGCCAACCACAATGACCCATTTTTGATCACTTGAGGTGCTGGCTTTTCTTCCCCCGGCTCTCCCCAAAGCTGCTGCAATCCAGCATGCTGGGCAATCCCTCAGGGAGAGGGAAAAAAATGAGATATTTCTTATGCAAGGACCTGAAAAATCAAAATACAAATAACAAATGCTTGGCCTCTGGAATGAGCTGCAGGGTGTTCCAGAGCAACAAGGCCCTTCTTGCATGCTGGTGACCAAACTCTGGCTATGTCTCCATCTCACAGGGTCTTGTGATGCTCCACGCTGTGCAGGGACCAAGGCTACAATCTGGGAGGGCTGCAGGAGCCGACTCACCCCCCATATCCCTCCTTTTCCACAGGTTTTCCCTACCTTTGAGCATGTGTCTCCATCAGGGACCGAGGCTGGAGGCTGCAGCTCTGACAGCAAGCAAGCTGAAGAAATCCCTAACATTCCTTCATGTAACTCTTCCCTTGGTAAAATAGCCAGCTGTGAGCTTTTCCCTGGAACACATCCCTGCAAACACAGTGGATCTACCAGAGTCAATACCAGCAGGACTGTGATCCCCGTGGTGATCACGGCTATTGCTCAAACACCTTTTTTCTCTTCCACCCTGCCAGGTGATTGCCGCAATTTTCCAGGGAAAGGTGTAACGCTCCGAGCTGCCAGCACCACCAGCCCTACCTCCCAAGCTGTCAGCACCTCCTGTTAGCTCACTGGGCTACGGTTGCTTCAGAAAGCTGAAAATAACCCGGTGCCAGAAGGGAAGGGGCGAAGCGGGCGGCGAGCGGTGCTGCTCCATGCGGGAATGATGTGCCTCTGCCAGCCCTCCCGAGCCAGCAAAGTCCCCTCCACTGGGGGATTCTCCGCCTGGCTCAAGTTTAAATCACTCTCCGAGGCAAACTTCTCCTGTAAAACACTTTCAGGCTGCGTTGTTATCTTTATATCATTATATATAAATGCTTTGGTCGTTTGCATCACAGTAAATCCTACCTGGCATTTTGCCAGGGAAAGCGCTCATCTGTGCTGCCAAGGAGGAGGGTCAGGTGCTGGAGACTGGAAAATGAGACTGGAAAATGGGTTTCCTTTGGTTTTGAAGCTCTGTAGAGCTTCGTAATAGCAGCCGATGTGATTCAGGCCATGCACACACACACACACATCACTCGAGTTCAGTGCTCTCCACTGCTCTTAAGGCACCCACAGTCTTCTCCAACTTCATCCCCAGGCTGGTTTCCCAGTGAATGGGAAGGGGAGGGAGATGGGGAGGGAGTAGCAGCAGGAATGGCTCAGCCTTGAGGCTCCAATAACAAACTCTCCCTTTATAACCAAAAAGCATCTCAGCAGTTTTGCCAATGGGTCCAGGCTGCAGCACAGGCACTGGGACTGTGCTCTGGCCAAGCACATCACCAGCTCAGTGAAGCCCCAGAGAGGTCTCACCAGCACCTCCCTTGCTGCATTTTGGACTCCTCAAAAAGAGGGAGACACAGCCACCTTCCCCCCAGGAGCACTGGTGACCGCTGCCACGTGCAGCTTCCAAGATCAACATTGCCATCGGGACGAGGTCGGGGGTCTTACACATACCCTGTCCTCCCACAGAAGGAGCCTCTGACTGATGAAGTGTTGGGAAAGAAATGGCTGAAATACCTGAGGGAGGAAAACACAGGAGGCACTGATGGGGTGTGTGAAAAGGAAACGGAGCCCTGGTGCCTGGTGCAGAGCAGAGCAGGGTTATACGTGGTGTTGCCATGTCAGGGAGCTCAAACTTGTTTTATTTATTTTATTTTTAAAATTTTATCTATGGAGGCATTGAGTAATTCATAGGCACCTTCCTTCATCAGGCTGAGGTGCTGCAGAGCGTGCCTGCAGCAGCATCCCCAGTACAGAGGGGATGGCTCCCTGCCCTGCTCCCGGTGGGTACCACAATCCTGCCCTCGTTTTCTGTATCTGCCTTCTCAGCTCTTCCCTTCTCATCCACTAAAGAGCAATATTTACTCGGCTCCAGTCCTCATTTTGAAATAACAGGCACCAGTGCTTACTTGGTGCATTGAAAGTCCAGGGCTTTTAGCAGATAACTTTGCTTTTATTCTGTTTGATGTGAAAAACAGTTTTCATGAGCAGGCTCTGAAATATCTATTATCCTACCAAGTCACTTCACACCCCAGTATTAAACAAACAAACAAACAAAAAGAACAAGAAGGAGGCTTTAAGTCATTAGTATTGACACTGCCTTTGGAACCTCTGGAGGTAATTTGGTTTTCCTCATGGATTTGATCTTGTCTTTGGAGATCTGTAGCTGCCCTCCCTGACAGTGAGGATGTTCAGGAAGATTCCAGAAGTGCAAAAGAAAAAGCTGTTATATGACCCACCAATAGGAATCCCTCTGGTGCTACAGAGCCCCAGGGAGATATTGGAGAGATGAATCCCACAAATCTGGAGAAATACAGCAGGCACAGCAACGCATGGAACCAGAGAGCAGGGAACACTCCAAGGCTCAACTGTCCCACCCATGTGCAACATCCCTCAGCATCCCACACGTGGGGACTCAGTCCCCGTGCAGCCTCCCAGCCCATTCCTATTCATAATAATAATTGGAGGAAATCCTCATTTCCTACCTAGAACAAACATTTTCCCTAACAGACACCGAACCCTTTGCTATGAGCTGGAGAAATCCATTTGCTCAGGCAGGTCATTAGGCAACCCCATGAGTGATCACTGTGTATTTATTTATTTCCAGGTTGCCCTTCCCAGCCTTTCACAGCCTCCCTGCCTTTTCCTCTGCATCCCAAGAGGCTGTGGCAGGGCATCCCTGGAGCACTGCAGGGCCCTCATGCAGACACACTTGATGCTGCTGAGAGCCCAGTGGGGACGGTGGTAGCGGGGTCAGGATGCTCTGCTGATGCTGCTGTTGCAATGCCATGGATTTAAGTGGAGTGGTTCTGGCTTGAGCAAGG